GAGTCATCGTCTCGTCACCACATTTTCAACTTTGATGGCCACGGCTTCTATTTTTCTTTGGTAGATTGACTGGGTTTGATAATATTTTCAAAAGTTAAAACCGAATAAGAAGCACACAAGCCCATGTTTCTATGCTACTGGTATAAATTGAGCTTAAAGAAAAATGCTTTAAGCTGAACTGCATGGCGTAGGCAGCCAATATTCCTCTCGCCTAGCTGGAATGCATTCTGCATTCCAACTCACACTGCTTTCTGGTTTCAGCAAATAATTTAGTCTATTGAAGTCATGTTGGCTTTGTCTTTAAATACACAGACGATAGTCTCACGATGATCGGAATTAGAAATTGCTTTGTTTTATTGCCTGATAAGCGCAGAGAGTAACAAGGTGATCCCTTGGCTAGTCAAGTACACGACAGTAGGCTTCGGTCACCCTAAAAATTAGTTCAAGCACATTTATCGAAAAGTGATGGCTGCCATGCTTGACGAAGATTTTAACGGTGCCTTTGTACTGTACATGCAATCAGTTAAGGGCGCTGCGAAGAACTGCACTCTTTGGGTTTCCAATACAGTGCCCACGCGATAACTGCAACCCCCGATAACTGCAACTACCCGATAAATGAAACGGCAAGTAGGGAACCATCTCCGGAGTCACTCAAAAATTACTAAAAAATAGGACCGTTTCAGATCTGATAACTGCAAGGTTTGAAAAATACCTTCAGAGCGTCAAATGGGCTGTTTTGAAGGGGTTACAAAAAATTCAGTCCTCGGTCGGGCGACAGATGGTCGACGGCCATAGATAGTCAAAATATATACATGTTTTTCAAATAAACTTTTGAGGTGTTGGATCCTAGAATCTAATGCGATGGATGCTAGTGTCTAGACGACAAGCAATTTGACCTCATATGAGGCCAGCTTTTTTTTGCAAAAATATATAAATTAAATCGAAACTTTAAAACATTCAGTTTGGACACCATTTCTTTAACGTATACGCGCTCGGCAATAACATCTTGCAAAACATTGGGATGGCGGTTGTCAATGCACAGAGAGACTAAGAATCTAATGAAGTATCAATGATGAGTTGAATTTTTAAACAGGCGTTTTGGTTTCGAAGATATCAACATAAAACGTTTTGAGGTTGGTCAAAAAAGGCTCCTTTTTGGGCATTTTAAAAATGGCTGGAGAAGACGTGCAGATCTCACCAAACTCCACCCTTTCACAACGCAGAAGTCAACTGCCGTGTCGAGAGTATCTTTTTTCCATCTTGTTGAGCTAGCACAAGTCGAGAAAAATAAGGTGAAAAGTGACCTCATATGAGGTCATTTGTCACCTAGACACTAGGCCCTATCATAAGGCTTGTTAACTGAAACCACGCGGTAACTATAACAGAGGGGGGTCTCCCCAGGTGTTGCAGTTATCGCGAGGGTACTGTATACGGATGTTCAGTGTAGACTGAGATCCGAAGAACACAGTAAAATTAAGAAAAGGATTAGTTTAATGCCAAATGAAAAGGTCTACGACCGACCTTAGAACAGCTAAATGGGAGGTTCGTGCAGTCGAACTTCTCTCCCAGAGCTGTAGCACTTTGGCAAACTTCTTACAATCCTTGCCCCCCTCTTACCTCACACCGCTAGTCGGTGTGGCCCTTTATCCCCGCGTATACTAAAATCCGTGTCTGTCTGTCTGTGTGTTTGTGTATGTGGTTTCGTGCGCTCCCGCACGGGTTCTCATTGGCGCACGGGGGCGCTGCGGCGACAAGTGGCGGCCACGTGTGTGTGTCTGTATGTCCTTGCGCTCCCGCGTTGCCATTGGCGCTACTGTGACAAGTGGCGGCCACGGGCGGGGCCTGGCCGCAGGCCAGGCCGCCACGGGGACACGTGGCAGTGACAAGTGGCGACAAGTGTAACATTTTAAATTAAAATTACTGTGCAGACTGCGGGGCGGGGCCCCACTACAGTACAGGCTGACAAGTGGCGACAAGTTAAATTTTAAAATTAAAATAACTGTGCGGACTGCCGAGCGCGGCCGCGCTACAGTACACTACAAATTTTAGCCCGGATCCGTTTAAACCGCGCCACGCAGATCTACATTGTGGGAGGAACTGGGGCGGGCACTGCGAGCACGTGACGGCGGTGTGGTAGATGGACGCGTACGACAGGGGGCGGACGCGTGAGACACGGGGCTGCCCGAAATACCGGAGGCTCGTGGCGACGTGAGCGGGGCGGTGGTGCGCGGGGGGCTGTGCGTGGGGGGGCTGGAATTCTTCAAGGCGGAGTTGCACAGCGCGTGGTGCTCCGACTTTGGGGGACGGATGTGGATGCGTGGCGACGAGGAAGTGCGGGCCGGGGCGGCGACTGACGGCGATAGGGACGGTGGGCTGCAATATGATAGTGGGCGGAGGGCGGTTTTGGGTGTGCGGCGATGACGTGGAGGAGATGTGGGCTGGGGCAGCGATAGGGACGGTGGGGGAGGGTAGGTGGGGGGCGCCGAGGCGGGGCGGCATGGATCACCACACTCGCGCGTGCGCGTGGGGGAGCGGAAGGCGCGGGAGCGGACCGGGCGCCCGTGCGGGGGGCGAGAGAGTCGGGACAGCGAGCCGGCTTCAACCGGACGCCCGTGTCAGGGGGCGGGGGAGGCGCGACGTCGAGCGGGCGCTAACTGGGTTGCTCAGAGACGGTGACGGACGTGGTGTGCCGGGTAGCAGCGGAGGCAGGCGTTGACGCCGTGGTGGGCGAGTGCGGCGGGTGGGACGGGCGTGCGCCCGAGATCGCGGACGCGGTGTGCATGCAGCTCCACGCAAAGCGGTTCCAAGCGGCGGCGGAGACTCTGCTGGACCGGCAGGCGGGCGAAGCGCGCGTGGTGGCGAGCTGCGTGGAGCTTCTGCGCAACATGAGCGGGCAGCACGCGGCGAAGAGCGCCGTGCGCGGCGAGATGTGGCGGGCGACGTGCGTGGTGGGTGGCAGTGGCGGGGCGGACGGACGCGGGCGTGGCAGAGACGTTCTGCGGGCTGGTGGGCGGGGTGTGCCTGCGGCGCGGGGACGTGGTGGACGGATGCGCTTGGGAAGGGGCGGTCGAGGTAGTGGTGGGAGCGGTGGCGCGGAGGGCGGTTGCGCGGGCCGCGCGCATCACGGAAGTGCGAAGAACGGGGAAAGTGGTCGCTGCGAGCCGGGCAGGTGTCGCAGCCGGCGGTGCTGGAGGGTGCGCGCGGGCGGGTGGGTGCTGGGAGCCGCCACCAGGTAGCAGTGTTAGGCGGAAGCGAGCGGCGGCGTGGAGGGCAGCGGCGCTGACCATGTTTGCGGGCTGCAGGGACCGGACCGCGGCCGGGGGGAAGGGGACACAGGCGGGCGGCGGCGCAGAGGGCGGCGGCGCGGACCGGGCGCGACGCGCAGGGGCGAGTAACGTGTGGCAGAACGAGGGGGCAAGGGGCGACAAAGACCGGAGAGAAGACGGGAGAGTTAGCGCAGAGGGAGGGGGAGCAGCGGGGCGGGGAACGACAGCGTGTGCAGAACGAGGAGCGGAGGAGGAAGGGACTTGGCTTGGCGCGCGAAGCGCGCACGGAGCCCACTTGTACCCAAACTAAAACCACGAAAGGCAAGCATACGAGGTGCAATCCGACATTGCACTTTGGCATGCTAGCTGATGTCGTGGACATCAGTTGTCAATTTTGACAGCAGCACAATTCACATTCAGGGGGTGTGAACATCTCGTTGTGACGGAATCGGGCATGGCGAGAGGATTTGTTCCTGGTAACAGAAAATAAGGGTGAGGCATGCTCTTGATGGTAAATTCATTGAGAGACGCGGAGTTGTGACTGTTTTGTGCTGTATTCTTTCATCAAGAAGGACGTGAATTTGCATCCATCTTGTGTGTGAAAGAGTACACATGCTTTTGTGAAATACTGTAGCAATGTAAAGGACTGCGTTATCCCCGTGATTTCTTTATTTAGTGTCCTTTTGTTTGAGCGAATGCTATCTCAGGGATACAGGTCAGGGTCCCCCGAACTGTTATTCGACCCTACTGTAGTACTGTACAGTAATTGTACATAACGGCGAAAATAATGTAATGCTCTCTATGCCCAAACCCGCGCGGGCACAAACACGTTCGCGCGTGTTTAAATCTGATGGCAGAAACCGAATTCTCGACGCTACCTAGGTTCAAAACAGGTACAGGCCAGGGGATTTTGCTCTAGTACAGTAGCAGGTCTCTAACGCAAATAGAGGGTTACCGAAGCACATTTCTGCAAGCACATTTCTGCAAGCACATTTCTGCAGCACGACTAGAGTTAGACTACCTTCGGTAGAGATAGTCAGATTTCACAAACGGATGTGACAAAAGTACCTGAAATGTCACATTTCAGGTACTTTTGTACTTTCACGAAGTGACTACAGTACTGTACTGTACTAGTCAAGAGTCCTCACGAAAGCTTTTTAGCCCGACTTTCTGGTACAGTATCTGGGCAGTAGTCAGTCAGAGTCCTCACGAAAGCTTTTTGGCCCGACTTTCTGGTATCTGGGCAGTAGTCAGTCAGAGTCCTCACGAAAGCTTTTGGCCCGACTTTCCTTAGTGTGGGTGTGGGTAAGTCATTGCTGTCATATTGCTGGTATGACAGCAAAGCATCACGCGTCATTGCTTTTTACAGGTTTGTCCCTCTGTGGGATATTTTTAGGGAAAATTGCATTTTTACTGTAGAGGGAGATTTTATACTGTAGTCTGAGATTTTATTTGAATTTTAGAGAAGCGCACGCGTACGGCCCGGCGGAATCCGGACCGGACGCGTGGACGCTTCTGGAAGGAATTTCGTAGAAATAAAAGAGAGAGGGTGACGGGCGCTGCGGGGAAAAAGGGGGGGAGAAGACCACACTCGGCCGACCCTCACCATGAAACGGCACGCTCCCCAAAGCCGCCTCCCCCATTTCACCGACGACACCCTCCTTCTGGACTACAGTAGTACAGTACAGTACATAGCTTTACTGTTGAATGCCTTACGTTCTGTTCGCTTCTTTGTCATGTGACAAAGGATTTGTCCGGAAGTTTTGCAAGAGACGCCAAACTCATAAACAAAAGAGCGAGGAACAACAAGCCGCCTCTGGTGGTAGCACCCGCAGCGTCCTTATCTAGTTGCCAGAATATAGAGCCCAACATGACACCGAGAATGAGATTTTGAGCGAGGTCAGCCAACAGGGCATCCTTTGTTGCTCCTATAAACTGAAGCTGACGTCTGCCAATGGCCTTGATCTGATGGCGAGGTTTGTTGAGAGTTGCCTTCTGTCCAACCTGCCAAAGGGAGTGAGGCATTTCGATGTTCGGCTCCGGAAGCGGCTTCCTTGCGCTGGCCTCCATGACTTTCTGTCCAAGCATTGCGGAGAGTTCGCTTCTCTCAAAACGGTCTGCAAACTCCTCAGGCGTGGTCGGAGGCACGTCCTCCAAGGCATTGATATCAAGGTCTACATGAAGATACTCGGCGCGCAATGCCGGGTTTGCGACAGTGGCAATAAAGTCTGGGACAGAGCGTTGCGGAGGTCTATGGAATCCCAAGCCGAGGAACCAACTCTCAGCCTGATCGCGCGGGCCAAAGTAGATGATATGTCCCTGTTCCATGACGCAGAGAGTATCGAACAACTTGAAGGCATCGGCACCAGGGGCCTGCATGGAAGTGATTACAGGGACATTAGAGATATCGGCAATCTCACGCATAGAGCGGGTGATGCTAAGGGTGGTGCTACTGTCC